ATATATATTAATTTTTATATTGACTTAATACTTATAATCTTTTTATTATTTTTATTAAAGAAATTGTATTTACTCACATATATATTTAATAATATTAAATTTTTTTAATTAACAAAATAATTAAGTTTATTAAAATAGTTTTAAAATCAATATATATGATTGATATAAATAAAATTATCAATCTAACTATTAGTATTGAAAACAGTAATTAAAAAATAAAATTTTAAATATGTTTTTTTTCAAAAAATTTAAAAGGACGACTTCGGAACCATTTTTTTTCCTTTTTAATCTTAATTTACATACGAATAAGTAGTTTTTTCTTTCCCGAGAATAAATTTCGATATATTTTTATTTTTTTTAATTATCAAGATTTCTTTTTTATTTACCCACACTATTCGCTTGATCTCCAAGTCCAGGCACCCCTAACCGTCCCAATTTTTTTTTCCTTTTTCGCGCCTCAATCGCTGTAACCTTTTCAACTGTGTTTTTGTTTCTCGATTCTTCCTTTCAATTTCACTCACCAATCACATTCTCCATTTTTTTTTCCCATGCTCCTCTCCTCATGAACTCCACCATTCACTCGCCTCCACCGCCGAACCCGTGCTCCTTAACGTTCCGAATCTCCACCCGGAACAGTCGTCGATTCAGTTGCTCAGCTGCCTTGGACTTTGGCCAGAGGAGGCTAAGTTCGTCGGTAATTCACAGGAGGAGGATGGAGTGGTTTCGCAGCATCAGCCGCGGTTGTTTTAGGAGCAAGGAGAGTAAAAGCGGGCTGAGAGTGGAGGACGATAGTGGCGGCGAAGACGTGTTCGATGCCTCAGCTGCCAAGTCTGGGGACCCTCCGGAGCATCTTGTTATCATGGTCAATGGCATCGTTGGGAGGTAACTCTCTAATTTCATAGGTTTTTCTTTTTCTTCTTTGTTTATTTGTAGATCGACTTTTGAAAATTTCCAGATGTTTGCTATGGAAATTGAAATTCGGTTCGATTTGTGCTTCTTGAGATTTGAGATTTATGTTGATGATGGAGTAGAATGTATGATTCGATGTTAGTGGAGTGAGATTGTTGTGATATGCAAACGGAGGCCTGCTGTTCCGGTACCATATAGTCTATACTGTCTTAAAATTGAAGTTACAAAATAACTTGCTGGAATTGAGCACAAACACAAAGATGAAATAGTAGCATTTTTAATATGTAATGCAGAAGTTCATTGTCTTTTCTTGAAGTTTATCCTGACTCCTTCGATCCCTTTAGTTTTGCTGATTTATATGTCTAGTTGCCCAAATTTTGATCTTTTGCAATCCCAGTTGTCAAAACTCAGTAGCATTGAATTTTTATTGGCATTATTTGTATATAAAATATCTGTGTAATTGGTAAACTATGGGTAGATTGTAGGATCTGCACAAAGAAGCTTCCTGATAATATATATTCCTTGTGTCCAGTGCTGCTGATTGGAGATTTGCTGCAGAGCAGTTTGTGAAGAAGCTTCCTGATAAAATAATTGTGCACCGTGAGTCTTCTATCTTATTTTGATGACCCTCCCATCCCCCGACCCAAATATTCTTCTTTACCTTCTGCATTTGTTTCAATAATTATGTATATAGCTGTTTTGAACTTTGTGCATTTCAAAGGATATTTTTGCATCTAATGGAATTGAGAAAGTCAAAGCTGCAGGTATAAAAATGTTCTCTATTGTTTGAACATGAAAAAATGTGGTGGATAAACAGAAGACACAAAAAGCACAAGTTTCTGACTTTATTTAAAGGATATTACTTGAGTGTACTAGTGATTAAGTTTGCATAACAAAATGTGAGTTCAACAATGTATGACTTCGTAAATTGTTCAGTGCAAGAAATTTATTTTAGAAAAGTATTAGAAAAGTAACACCTCTGTACAGCTGATTGCATCCTAGGACATTATGATTGGGCACTCAAAGATTTGGTTTGATATTCTGGGTGCAGGCAGTGAATGCAACTCTTCAAAATTGACATTTGATGGTGTTGATTTGATGGGTGAGAGGCTAGCTGAAGAGGTATTTTGGTAATAACAGTTTAATCTTCTTGGCTTTTGTTTTGGAAAATGGTAAGGGAAATTTTCATACAGGACAAAATCTAGTCTTGAGTTTGAATAATATATGATGCAGGTATTGGCAGTTGTCAGACAAAGGCCTGAGGTTCAGAAGATCTCTTTTGTGGCTCACTCTTTAGGTGGTCTCGTTGCAAGATATGCTATTGGCAGGCTCTATGAGCATTCTTCAAGGTTAAATTCTTCAGATCACTATGGGATCTCATTAAGTGAAGAACATACAAAGTCCTCACTTAAGCAGCCTTATGAAGCTAGAATTGCTGGATTGGAACCCATGAATTTTATAACTTTTGCAACCCCACATCTTGGCTCAAAAGGACATAATCAGGTAACATTAATCAGGGACAGAGCAAGATTTTTATTTCCATTTTTTTGGAATGAATTGACTAAAAATAGTGGAAAAAATGAGAAATTTAGCTTAAATGCAAGGTGACACCTATTCTTTTTTAAGGATCCCCATTCTTCTCTCTTATTGTAACATTCTTTGACTTTAATACTATTGTATATGCTATCTATACCTTGTAAAATGTGAACAGGGTAGGAAGCTTGTTTTGTTTACAGTTCATAAGGGAAAAATTGTGGGTATGCTGTTATAAGTTTCTTAGTTTGTACATTTAGATGTTTTACATATATATATATATATATATATTTGTTTCTGCAGCTTCCCCTTCTCTGTGGTCTTCCTTTTCTTGAGAAGAGAGCCTCTCAAACTGCGCACTTAGTTGCAGGGAGATCTGGGAAGCATCTGTTCCTGACTGACAGTGATGATGGAAAACCTCCTCTTCTCCTTCGAATGGTTAATGACTCTGATGACTTGAAATTCATGTGAGTGTTGATATATCATGATAGCATCTAACTGCTCTAAAACTGATTTCAACAGTTTTCTTTTGTGTGTAATATCATCATTTTTTTATTGAATTGTATAGCTCAGCTTTACGGGCTTTTAAGCGACGTGTGGCATATGCAAATGCAAATTATGATCGTATCCTTTCTGTGGTTAAAATTATTTTCTGATCTTCTGAATTAAGTACATCTGGTTTACATTGAAAGTCTCATTTTTGCCTCTTAAAAAGGTTATTTTTTATCTTCACTCTCATTATAGATATGGTTGGGTGGAGAACATCATCGATCCGGCGTCAACATGAACTTCCAAAGGTGAGTTTTCCTTTTTAATATTCCTTTTGTTGGTCAATTCATAATTTAATTCATTCATTTGTTTTATTCACTAGCTTTTTGCGTCACATCTCTTAACTATATTAATGTATTATCTTCTTTATTTCCAGTCCAATCTTCTTGTGATAGATGAGAGATATCCACATATTGTGTATGTTGAGCTAGAAACTAAAAGGAATGGTAAATCATCTTCCACTGATAGAAATCAAACAAGCGATTTGGAAGGTTTGTGCAACTTCTCAACTTCAAGACTATTTCTTATCTTGTAGTAAGATTATCAATTATCTGTACATACATAGTATTGCAAGCCCAAAGGAAGCATGCTTCAGTGATTGTTCAATTAATTTCTACAATAATATAAAAGGGCAAACAATTCATCAATAAAGCTTTGAACTACAAATGGTTGATTTTGTAAAACCTGCTGCATCTCATGGAATTACTTCCGTTGTCAATCTACCAGATGAATAGCACTTTGGTTGTCATGGTTTTTCTTTTCTGTTCTTTGCTGCAATATTGTAATACTAACACTAATATGCAATTTCTTATTGGATAACTTAAATGAGCATTAAGCAGCATGTTGCTCATATGGATGTTCTTCCTTTGTTGGATCTTCCTATAACTGACTATTTCAAATTTATGTTATTTTGTTTAGTTGTTTAAACTTCTTCACTCTTACCTTGAATACTTACCCTTCAATTACAGAGGAGATGATACGAGGACTCACTCAAGTACCCTGGGAACGTGTGGATGTTAGCTTTCAAAAGAGTAGACAACGATATGTTGCTCATACAACCATTCAGGCAAGTTCAATAGCTTATTAGGATTTTGCTGCAACTGTTGAAGAGTCCAATTAATTGTTAGTTGCTGAGTAATATAAGTGTTAGAAATTTAAATTTCTTTATTATTTATTTATTTACTTTGGTTGTGTAATGAGTGTTTCAAAGTTCATAGGTAGAATGGCTGTCTTTGCAATTTCTTTTCTGAAGGACTACTTTTTGTACTTTAGGCTTCTTCAAGGATTTATAAGAATTTGGCTTTAGTGGTCTTGGAAAGCAAGCCTGAGTTGGTTATTCATCTATCATTAATTAGTTTCCTCTTCTGGTTCCTAATCGTACACCGGAAAACTTTTTCCTTTCTTGTTGGTTATGAGTCCGCTATGCTTCCACTACCCACCACCAGCTTGAACCATGTATTCCAAAACCAATTGCTGACAGGTAGAAAGGTCCAATTTGAATATAAGACCAAAGGAAATCCACAAATCAATATGGGATGATACCACTTAAAATGCAAATAGATGCTTATTTGTAGAACTTTGCTTTTGCATACGTGCTGCTGTGTTAATGTATAGTAGGGTGCTGTTAGTTCAGCAAGTGAGTAGACAAAGATTATTTTTGTTTTTCCACTTTCGTCATCTCTCTCATGCAATTATTTACTTCATATAGGTGAAGAGCTACTGGTTGAATTCTGATGGAGCAGATGTTGTTTTCCACATGATAGACAACTTTCTTCTCTAGTGTTTAACAAACATGGCATCATCTGCTTGGTCATTCAACAATGGGTTAGATCACTTATTCTTTGGTGCACCATGTACAGGGTCACACATGAGGATATTAGTGTGTTTTTTTGTTTCAATGTTGAAACATCTGGGATATTGCAAAATAGTTGCAACTTATCTCACTATCTCTTCATTTGTATATTAGCTTTCTTTTGTAAGGATGCTGTTAATTTATTTTCTATTTAGAAAAAGAAAATGGAATTTGATTTTTAAATTGTGTTGTGATGATAACTGTCATACAATTAGTGTACTTTCTAAGTAGTGTCTAGATATGAGATTCTAGAATTTGGGAAAGAACTAAAAATGAAAATCAGAATGAAATGATAATAACTTCAGGTCATTCATGTTGAATGAATGAGAATACAGTTCTTTCCACCTTTTTACAATTTCTGCTGATTAATACTGTAAGACCCTATTCTGTTCAGCTTCTGTTACCAGATATCTACTGATTTTATTCTCTAATAACGATATTTAATGATATTTATAGCTTGATGGTAGACCACTTGAAATTCCTTAAGGATACTTGATGATATTACATCAGCTGAATTACCAATCCAAGAGAGATCAACATGAATTGATTGATTTAATATTTTGCTTTCTTATCATGCTTCATGTCTGTTCATGCCATGGGCAAAGAAACTAGCAGGAAGAAACATGGGAAAAGTGAGAAGTGAACAAATACTTTCAAGTACCGTTTGATCTTTGAATGAAAAAATTGCTGAAAATTTATAACCTTCAATTTACACTTGGGAACATGGTGCAGGGTAAATTACGGGGGAAAAAAGAAAAGTAAAAGAAATGTGTTTGAGCCTTCAATCAGGCAAATACTCAAGCAATTTAAATTTGACTTTGAGTCTAGCCTATGTGGAGTAAATTTCATTTTGCAATTTGTTCCTACACTTGAAATTAAATTTCTTGTGTTTTTACATGCTTTTGATTTATCTTGAGCATCATCAGGAAGTTGCAGAGAGGACTGAGGCTGAAATAAGCTGAAATGATCAAGAGGATGAATATCCATGGACTTCTTTATTGTTGTTGTCATTATTCTCTTCACAGCTGCATGGTTGAAAACTGATGTAAGCCACCATTTACAGTCTAATTCTGAATTTAATGGAGCAAACTATGTCAAATTTTACCTTGTTTGAGTATCATTGGTATTGATGTCAACTGACTGAGACTCTTGCATTTCTGATGAGAGCTCTGATTTGTCTGTGAGCAGACTCGATAGACTCTTGCAGAACTGCTCATCATCATTTACTAGTTTAGAATATTATCATTATTCAACGAAGAAATTCAACTTAAAGAACGGATTATCTTACCTCTTTGTACACTCTTAGCTCCCCTGCAGATTTTGATATTTCAACAACACAATTTGTTGGGGCAACCTCAATCACCTGGCATTTGATACATGAAACAGTGAGTGGCTATTACATCTCATCGTGAAGAAAGAGTATGACAGTTAATTACCTCAGCTGATAGGTCATAATATGATCTACAGCATCTAGTCATCTTCTGTGCAGGATGAATTTTCATCTGATATGGTGAAAGAATCCATTAGCTGCAGAGACAGAGAATATTCACTTGGCAAAAGCATCAGGTATATTAGCAGTTTGTACCTTGAAATTGTTCATTCTTTCAACTGATAGGCTCACACCCATTGCAGCGGCTTCTATTTTCTTTATGGTTTCATTAACCGTATGCTTGGATCCAAGCCTTGTCCTCTGCTTCTCATCATCCTACATGATCAAAATGTTTCAATGAAATAAATTGCAAACAGAGGAAGCTAGCACGGACATAGACATATTTTTTATTGTAATGGTTACCTGTCCTTCAAAAAGACCTGATAAATCATGTGACATTGCTATCAATTGAAATGCATTAATGAAACTTGAGGATTTGTGCATCTTTCTCTCCGCATCATTATCCTGTATAGATTATGATACATTTAGTTGAAAGTTTTGAAACTCTTCTTAGTGGTTAATGTCTGTTTGAGCATTTACCTCAACTGAATCAAAGGCAGTGCTAACATCATCCAAGTAGATTTTCTCATCACAAATATATCCACATGAAGGCACATAATCTGTTTGAAACCATGGGTCTTCAACAATCTCTGGTATTTTTATCCTCTATAATAATATGAGAAAACTGTTACTCCTATCTCCTAATTTGAATATCTGAGTTGCAAAGAATGTTTCACAGTTTTACCCTTTTCGGATCTGGATCAAGTATCCTGGAGATTAGCTTCCTCTGACCTTCGGTAAACCATGGCGGGAATGCGTACTCGGCTCCAGATATCTTTGCAAAGAAGCACAAATAACATATAAGTGAGAGGTAATTTATTGTATTCAAAGCAGGTTACTTGATCTTTTTGGAAGCATACCTTCTTATACAAAACCAAAAGATTGCGGTCATCAAAGGGCAAAGATCCTGCAAGTAGTTCAAAAAGGATAACACCACAAGACCAAACATCTGCTGCTGCTCCATCATAGCCCTTGTTCGCAAGCAGCTGCTCAGTAGAAGATATTTATCATCAGCAATGATTTTGAAGGTAGTTTTGGTGCATTTAAATAACAGCTAGCATTTATTTGTTTCCATCTATTTTTCTTCTCTTTTTCTATTTCTTTCCGAACTAGAACATTTCCAGTTCACACCTATGAATTTGAACAATATGCAGATGATAAACGTTACTCAAACTAGAAAGTTGCTTCTTACCTCAGGTGCCACATAACATGGAGAGCCACAGGCTGTGGTAAGCATGTCTCCAGGCTGTGAATTGATCAGATTGTAAGTCAACCCTCGATTGGAATGTTGTCTGATTTGAATAACTGTTGAAAATAACAAAAAAAAATTACCCACCTTTCTCAATGCGCTAAGTCCAAAATCCGACACTTTTAAATTTCCTTTACCATCCAAAAGCAAGTTTTCTGGCTGTGGAAAAAATTCCAAGATTGAAGCTGATTAGTTTACCTGACCCTCGATCTACAGAGCAAAATAGCATGCTATTACTCACCTTTAGATCTCTATGATAAACTCCTCTAGCATGGCAATAGTCCACTGCATCTATCAATTGCTGGAAAAGTTTTCTTGCCTCTTGATCACTTAATTTCTTCTCATAAGACTGCATACAAAGGTTAAATAGGATCAAATATGTAAGTGAAGCCTTGCCTCAAAGTTGTTTTGGATCCCGTGTATAATATGATGGTTGATTCTCACCAGTTTGTCTGAAAGTTGCCCGCCTGATACATATTCCATTGCTATGTATATTTTTGTCTTTGAGCCAATCACCTGTAGATGAATTGATTCAGCACAGAAAATGGATAAGCGCGCCACCCAGAATTAATTTTGAAAATCTGACATACCTCATGTATCCTAACAATATTGGGGTGATGCAGTAGTTTCATTGTTCTTATCTCTCTCTGCACCTGCAATTTGAATCCTTTTATTTGTCAGGAAGGAATCCAATTTGTTTCCTGAAGATGAAAGAAGCAAGAGAAGGAACAGCAATACATAATCATATTAAAAGAGAAGGGCAAGAGATTTACCTGATACTTGAGATCGCTTTCCATGACCATCTGCTTGTCAATGATCTTAATGGCAACATATTTACTGTTGGTGGTGTCAACGGCAAGCTTAACCTTGGCGAAAGTTCCCTCTCCAATCACCCGGGTAAGCTGATACTTCCCTATTTTGCTTGCGTATCCCATTCTTTGTTCAAGTAATATCCAATCTTCTTCTTCTTGTTATTGTTGTTGTCCTTTTCTGTTCTTGAATTGATGTCCGCAGCAAATTCAAAACTATTGGTGTTCCTTGAAGCCTCTCTGTTTCAAGTCTGTTTCAAAAATGGATCCAACTCTATTTATTTTTGAAGTTAACTCATGCTTCTTCCTTGCAGCTGCCATCTTCATTCAGATTTCAAGCATCCTGAAAGCAAAGTAGAATCTTATATGGGTCTCACATTTCATAGATAAATTCTGCCCACGATTTTTAAGAGGTTTAAAATAGCCTTGACTTGTGGCAGGTCATGTTGAGTAGATGGAGGATGACTGGCTGGCTATATGGGCTAGTTGGTGGAGTAGAATTACTTAACAGGACATGGTTTGAATGGAAGTTGGCCTGTATGCTTCACATGTAAGTTACCTGTGTGTCATGGGACAGTTGGACCGTCCCGATTTATGGCTTATGTTGGCCTCTTGGTCGGTCTAATGTGAACGCACATCTTGGATTTTGCATATGCAGATTCTGTCCTCGTGGCTGTAGGAATATGGATAATTCATTATTTTATAACTTTTTGGTCATGTTCGATTTGTTGAAATTATTGTTATGTTCTGTTTTAACGAAAGTAAAGTAAAATGGAAAGGAAATATAGCAAGATAGGAATGATCCCTTATAACAACTGATAATAACATGGGAATATCTTGAACTTAAGGAAAGAGTAATAACTTGTCTTCCTTATTTGATGCAAGTAAGGAATAACCTCTATTACAATTTTTTTTTTCTTATAGAATGTTCCAGTTATTAAGATTTTACATTTAAATTTTAAAACAAAAAGA